GAGGTCAAGGAGCTTCTCCTCAAGTCCATCTCTTTGAACTCGACCGCATTTGAGGGCGAGGTGGAGGGTGTCATGACATTCATCGGCTCGAAGACTGAGACTGCCATGCTTATTTTTGCCAAGGACCATTTGGGTATGGGCCCCGTCAGCGAAGAACGATCCAACGCTACGATTCTACAACTTGTTCCCTTCGACTCTGGCAGGAAGTGTATGGGTATCTTCGTTCAGTTGCCCGATGGCAGAGCTAGACTGTACGTCAAGGGAGCTTCGGAGATTCTTCTCGGTCAATGCACGGAAATCCTGCGTGACCCTTCCCGCGACCTGACCACCACGTCTCTGACCCCCGAGAACGACGAAACAATCAAGAGTTTGATCAACAACTACGCTTCACGGTCTCTCCGAACCATCGGCATTGTCTATCGCGATTTCGAGCAGTGGCCACCAAAGAACCTCCGTTGTGCCGAAGGCAACCGCAACGAAATTGTCTTCGAGGACGCTTTCAAGCAGATGACCTTCATTGGCATGGTGGGAATTCAAGACCCTCTGCGTGAAGGTGTGCCGAAAGCTGTGAGGGACTGCCAGAGAGCTGGTGTTGTGGTTCGCATGGTTACTGGTGACAACAAGCTTACAGCACAGGCTATCGCAAAGGAGTGCGGCATCTTGAAGCCTGACGGCCTCGTGATGGAGGGGCCCGAGTTCCGTAATCTGTTAAGGCTACAGCAGGAAGACATCATTCCCAACCTCCAGGTGCTCGCCCGTTCCAGCCCCGAGGACAAGCGAATCTTGGTACGCCGCTTGAAAGATATGGGTCAGACCGTTGCAGTTACGGGTGATGGCACCAACGATGCGCCTGCGCTGAAGCTAGCCGATGTCGGATTTTCCATGGGAATTGCTGGTACAGAAGTCGCCAAGGAAGCTTCAGCTATCATTCTCATGGACGATAACTTTAACAGTATCGTGAAGGCCTTGAAATGGGGCCGCGCTGTCAATGACGCCGTTAAGCGTTTCCTTCAGTTCCAGCTTACCGTCAACGTTACCGCAGTTGTCCTCACTTTCGTTACCGCTGTTTCCAACCCCAACTCAGAAGAGTCTTCCGTCTTGACAGCAGTTCAACTGCTTTGGGTAAACTTGATCATGGACACATTGGCAGCACTCGCTCTTGCTACGGACCCTCCCCAAGACAGCGTTCTGGACCGCAAACCCGAGCCCCGCGGTTCTGGCATCATCTCTATCACCATGTGGAAGATGATCATGGGACAAGCCATTTACCAGTTGCTCATCACCTTCCTGCTCTACTATGGTGCACAGACCGTTCTCGGTTACGACGACGAGCTTATCAACGGCCAACGTAATACTCTGGTGTTCAATACCTTCGTCTGGATGCAGATCTTCAACCAGTGGAAGTAAGTGT